ATTTCCTTCTCTTATAAAATGTTCATTCAGCTAAGTTCGGTTCAGCTGAGTCCAGTCTATGAGAACAGACCCTTAGTGCATGTTTGGTTCATCATGGAATAAATTTTCACATGAAATCATATATGTCATGGAAAGTTTTTTCCCTGCTAATTGCATAAAATTTGTGTAAAAGTGTTTTTTTTTTTGGTAAATAAAAGTGTTTGGTTGACATTATGGGAATTAGTATTTTTTAGAAAATACTCCATAACTTCCTTTGTATTGTAGGAATTCACTTATGTAGGAGGGCTCAGTGAGTTTTATTACAAAATATAAAAATTATTAAAAATGTAAGAGAGATAAATAGTAAAATATTAGTAGCATTTTATTACGAAATATTAAAAATATAATTCGGAGAGAGAAGATGTTAAGTATTGGCGTATAGCTGCTATTTACATGCCAAGTAAATAGCAGCTATATGACAAAATTAAAGAGTGGTATTTTTTTTTTTCCCTAGTGGTACAATATTTGTACCACTGTTACCTATAATAGCTATAAATAATTAAATAGTACTACTAAAATAGCTTATACTCTAGTAGTACATTAAAAATCCCACTGTAAGTATAATGGTACATTTAAAATACCACTAGCAATAAAACAAAATTCTCAAAAACCAAGTAGATTTACCAATTAACCCTTTTATATGCATCCTAAACATATACTTCCTCCGTTCTTTATTACTTGATCCGTTTTGACTTTTACACTATTCACCACCCCTCCTTTGACCGTATTTTGTGAATAATATGTAAGAAAATATATATATTCATGTATGATCTTTTTTGGATTCGTCTCAATAAGTACTATCATAATATATAACTTTTATAATTTTTACTTATGGAGGATTTAAGTTATTGATCGTGAAAGTTTTGCATTGACAATTGTGATAAAAGAAACAGGTCAAGTAAAAAAGAATAGAGGAAGTAGGAGTTATGCGCCTAGTTGCACTCGAGAGAAGAAAGTGTTGCATTATTAAGAAACGAATCCCTACCTTGTAAAAAGTAGAAAGTTGTTCTTATGAATAGTGCACGGACTTTTATACCCTTCAAAATGTTATTTTACCTTTGTACCCCTATATACCCTTGAAAATGTGTTTTACCTTTGTACCTCTATTTGTAATTTTGTACTCCAACCCAACTTCAAATTGTTCTGACCCATCTACATTTCCTTACACATTTGAGCTTTCTCCTCCTCCTCTCCATGACTCCATCTCTTGAAAGCTTTTAACTTTCTCTCTCCACACTATCTTTGCCATTTCAAAGTACTAAATTCCACATCTTTGTTCACCACCTTCCCAAAATTTCCAAATCAAATTGTGGCCAAAAAAAAGTTGACAATACCAATATATAGCGGAAAAGGAATAAATAACGAGGACCTTTTCGCGGTCGATGGTCTGGAAACGGGAATGCTGAGGAAGGGGGCCTCGAGAAGGGAGAGGGGAGAGGGGGAGGCGATGGAAGAGGGCGGCCGGATTTTCTAGGCCGGGAGCAACGTCCATAGATTTAAAACAGGATTATCATTAAGTTAAGAACATTCTACTATGGATTTTGAACTTCATAACCTGTAATGATAGGATCACCCTAGGATTCTATTTAAGATCATTATTTTAGCATATGAGCAATTCATCAGTGTAAAATAAGATTAATTTCATAATTTAGTCTAGACTTGAATTTAGTCACTATACACTATACAGGATCAGACTTATTAAGTCTAAGAACTCATTGGTTAGACTGGACTTGATAGGTGGATATAGCTTGCTTTAGTAAAATATATGTACATATCATGTACGGTTGGGCATAAGAGTGTGAAGGAATTGGTTGTTTCGGTTTCATGTAAGCTTCGTGACTGAGATCGTGTTTTATAGTTTGGGGTGTTATTAACATGCTTATTAGGGGAGCTTAATTTAATGTTTTGTAAAAATAATTTGTTGTATTGTTAATGTGAATCGTGTATTATTATCTTGAATATCCAATTTTTTTGGATCGAATATTTATAGATTTTGGATTGGATACGGCTCGGATCATCAGATTTTGAGAGTTTAAAACAATCACTAATTCTTGATATAAGTTTATTTAAATTTAAATAATAAATTTATAATAATTCTAATTTTTATTCGCGTAATTAATTTTTATTTTCAGATTTGTTTTCTCATTATCATAAATTGGGTGTTCTTGTGTTTTTGGAAAGATCAATAAGGGCTTTATACAATAGAGTAAGTTGAATTCTAATTTGGTTGACTGATTAAATAAGTATTTCAAAGTACTATTGTGTATGTATAAACATGAAACGCATGATAATGCGTTTTCTTTCTCATATAACTTCTTTATTTCTTTTAAGAGTACTAATTAATAACACCCCCCCTCTCTCTCTCTCTCTCACACACACACACACACACATTTATCTCTTTTCTGACTTTATCTCCCTGTTCTTTTTTTTTTAAATGACTTTGGAATTAAAGGTTCACTTGCCACATTTCTCCCTTCCTTTACTGCCCAAAACTCTTTCTCCATATCTTTCTTCTATCATAATTCTTCTTGTCCTTGTTCCATTTTTTTTTAAAAAAATAGGATTTTAAAACTATAGATTGTACTTTCTCGCCTCCTTCCCCTCCTCCCATATCAATATTTCTTTCTTTCTCCCCTGAGACCTCTATCTCAACTTTTCTTTATCTCCCTCTTTCTTCTGGCCTCTCTCTGTCTCTCTCTCCCTTCCTCATATACCTTTATCTCTAATTAGCACTCTAACTTTATTCGATCTTTTGACCTCCTCTATCTCTCTTGGCCCTCGTTATCTCTCTATCTCACTCTCTTTTTCCCAACTCCTCTTTCTTATTCTCTCTTTCTCATAAATCCTCTTTCCCATCTCTTGGCTCCTCTCTCCCATCTCTTGGCTCTTCTTACCCAACCCTTCTCTGTCTATCCCCTAACATGTTCTTTAATTTACTCTTAGCTCATGTCCAGCCTTTTCTCTTTCTCTTTCTATTTTATTTTAACTTTTCTCTCTTTCATAGCACACTTCTCTTTTAGCCCATCTCCCCTCTCCCCTTCTCGTGACCTTGCCTTCTCTCTCTTTAGCACCTTCATATCTCAACCCCCTCTATCTTTCTTTCTCTTTTGACATTGTCATTCGGTCTATCTATCTATTCTTTCTCTTTCTCTTGGCCTCTTTTTCTTTCCCAACCCTTTTCTCTCTCTCTCTCTTCCATCACTTTTTTATTCCTGGCTCCCTCTGTTTTTTTTTCTCTCTACCCCTCTCTTCCTTTCCCATCCCCCACCCTCTTTTTTTTTCCTCTCCATCTCCTCCTATTTCTTCCTCTCTCTATCTCTCTTTCGCTCCTCTCTCGAGTCTCTTCCACTCCTTCTCCCTCTTCCTATCTGTTACCCTTTATCTTCCTAAAATTATCTATAACTATGATTGTATTAACATAAAAAACATTTAGTCATGAATCTAACATGATTTTTTTATCAGAATGTTGAAAATTTTAGGCCTTGTTCTATTGACCTTATTTTCACTTATTTCAAGAAAAATTCAGAAAAAATAAGTTTAAATGAGTTGTGATAAGAGCTTATCAGGGTTACCCAAGTTCAATTTATTACTAAAATAAGTTTTAATAAGGGTTAATGAGTTCAGATAAAATCAGATAACTTCATATAAGTAAAAATCAAGTGCCCGTAAAAAAAATAAAAAATAAAAAAAATCAAGTGAATAGAACGCACTCTTATTCTAAAGGTGTTAATAAATTAGATGTCTCAATTGTCACGAAATCACGCTGTTTAATTAATAACATTTACTAATTATTTAAAAAAAGTGTGTCCAAATATAGTTGTCAAAATCTAGTCCCCCTATCTTGCTATTTCTTTTTTGTTTTTCCCTCCCTTTAGCTTTCTCGTTATTTCACTCATCTTTTGTAATTTTGACTACTTTAAAATGTAGTGTCATCTTCTCCTTAATGACACTCTAATAAGTGTTCTTAATAAGTACTCTCTCTCTCAATCTCTCTCTCTCCATCCTTTTCAATGGGTTATTTTTGGGTGTGTTCACCTCTATCCTCTCATCTACAGTTCTACGTTCTCAATTTTGAGTATCTCTTACTCCTACCTTGAATTTTGTTTAAGTTTTCATTTCCTTATACTACTTGTTACGGAGAAAAAGTAACAATTTTGCAACTACATTCTTTCATCAAACACCAATCAGTTCTACATAATGTTCTTAGCACACACATATTGAGATTCATCCAACAAAACAATGAACAACTACAAAAAAAAATAAAAAAAATAAAATTGAAGTTACATGGTTTGTAGGGTTATTTAACTTGTTTGTTGGTTGGTTATATTTAATTATTTATGCTATTTGGCCAATCCATCTATTGCTATATAGAAAAATGTGTTCGCACATAACGGAATTGAAAATGTACATTCATACAAATGGAAAAACATAGCCACTAATTACGATTAATGTTAAATTCTTAGAATATCCATTTGAGTAACATCAAATGCAAGAAACTATTCAAGGACTTTTTAAAGCTATCTTAAGCTAAAACACTGAAATGAATTGCCTACTTATCTTCACCAAAAAAAAATAAAAAAAAAAATAAAATAAAAAAGTGGCAAAAATTATCCAGTATCCATAATTTATTATTAAAAGTTTAACACCCAACAAAACCAATCAATTGTTTCCACCAGCAGATACTCAACCTAGACCTCGACCTTCTTTTGATGAGTTGAAAAATGCAAACATAAGATATTGATTATTAATCCTTTCACTGGAAGGGGATCAGGAATGAGACACAGTCACAAAGTTCTCTAATACTCTATTGAATGATGTGTATTACTTTGATTTGAGCTGCTTCATGAACTATATCAAATTCCTTTCCCCTAAGTCTTCGTAAAGTAGACTCACAGCCTTTTTCATGACCAACCTTCACTTGCATTAAACTTGGGTAGCTACTATCTTCTTGACCTCTTTTGAAGTCCCATCATATAACAAAAGCAAAAATAGTATAAGTAAAAATATCAATAATGCTGAAAAAACTCAATTCTGCAGTGATTGATTCAGCTTCCTATTCCTCCATTAAAATTATTGAGACATTAAATTAAATATCATAATTTTATAGTAAGGTATATTCTAAAAATGCACCCATGATAGTTTATAAGAAATCATATGCCACTCATCTCCTACTTAGTTGCCCTCTAAAGAAAAATACATCAGTACACGAGAATAGACTCAACGATCCACAATGGAGGCTATATTATTAAAGTAAATAAATTACAATGTAATCAAACATATTTTTTAGTCCAAACTTTACCAAATTACTTAGCAAAAGAATCATGTTATCTACGACACTAAAAATACCAATCTTTTGAGCTATCTTAACAGATTTAATAATATTCAGACAACACTATAAATTCGCTTATTATAGCTCACAAATAACAATTTTCAGCCATATTATAAGCATGTACAAATTCTCAATTCAAGGTAATGCTTATGTTAGCTACCGATCAATAAAGTATGAGTAATAGTTTTCCCAAATGCTCACTAATACTCGCATCAAAATAGAGAAACTCAAATCAAAATAAACATGGATAATCAAGAAATCAAAAGTGAACCAGATTTAACTATGAGCATTTTGGATTAAATTGCACAACTAAACTCATTTTTTCCCCTCTACAGAATTCCAACAATACCTATAAATAAACAAAACCCAAATCTCAAATTCAAATTCATCAAAATAAACACCAAAAAAAATAAACACCAAAAAAAAAACCCTGAGAAATAGAGTAAACATAAATGAACCAAAAAGATATTTGCCAAAGAATAAAAGGATACTAAAAAGGGAAGGCATTGGAGATCGAAGAACTCACTTAATGCTGCTCTTTCGCTAGCCATTAACCTTTTCACTTCAGATCCCATTCAATCTCCCCATTTCCCCTGTTACTCTCTTCACGAACAAAGCAAAAATAATTTATTTTTTTTTAAAAAAAAAAGTCAAAATGGGATTTTTACATGAGGTTAAATATCCACAATATAAACTTAAATTATAAGATCAAAAGAAGGTTTGTTACTCTATTCCAGATGAATTAAGAACCCTCTTTGTCTTATAGTCATAAGAAAAATTTGTTTAATTTTGCAAGCATTCTATCTTCCTATATTTATTAAAAACATGGCAACATTATTATAGTAATTAGGGGCTTATAAAAAAAACTGAAAATTTACTGAGGAGCAACAATTCCAGGATGGTAATAATGAGTGTTCTCGACTCTTCCAATAGTTGGAGCTGATATTCCAGCAGACTTCATATAGAAAATAATCAATTAGATACTGAATGATCTAAATCAAATATATAAATAAATAAAACCCTAGCTTTATGATGCATGGGAATATAATCCCAATTTTTTTACCAAACTGAATCGAAACCACCCCAAAATTCTGAAATAATTTGTCACCCTCCATTTCTGCATAGATAGAAATTAAAGCATCGTTCATAATAAAGGTACAAGAAATATAACAAAAAAAAAGGAAATGAACAAAACCTTAAAAGTAGAAACAATAGCACCCAACCAATCTTCATGATGAAACAATGAAGGAAGAAACCGAGTTAATTATTATAGCATTCATATTATAGCCTAAATGTTCAGAAATTTGTAAGTAAGGAGGTTTCTCTCCTTGGGCCCTCAAACCACCATAAATACCGGCAGCCTTGAATCCCTTCGCAGCTGTACCTCCCCCAGAAATCTACAAAAGAAACTAAACACTGAGATTTCAAGCTTTTCTTTCTTCATTTCAGATATGAAAATAGACGTCAGAATCTGTCTTGCTATCATTTTAACTCAATATTCAGGATCAGCATGACCTAATTCGCTAACCCCACTCCCCCAACCCCCTCAAAAACTACGATCATAGACATGCGAATTGGTACAATGAAGCACTTAAGAACTTATAAAATAGTGACACTTTTGAACAAATAATATAAATAGTAAACTTGCATTTATGTACCATTCCATGTGCTGCAAATTAGATAACATTGTTCAGGATAAACAAGAAAACACAAATATAATTCGGAAATCAGTAACCTGCTGCCAAGGTCCTTCAGGGATAAGTATAGGAGCTGCAGGTATATAATTCGCTGCAAGTACGTCCTTCACCGCATCAGTAGCAACTGACGACATGGAGACTATTGTCAATTCCCTCCTAGACCCAGACAGTCTGCAAAACTGATTAAAATGTGTATTGAAATAAAATGATTCAGGGTAATCCAGACACCATACAAATATCATTTTCCAAACTGAGCAACTTAATTATTAGCTTACTCTTATAATAATCTTACAATTGAGAAATTATCAAGACCTTTTTGTTGTTGAATCCTGGAAGTTTGACAGGAATGTGATGGAAACAAATCGACATTGTTGAACAAATTTGGACTTGCTGCATTTTCAGAAAATGTGCAAACTTTTAGAGTTTTTCATATTAAATTCAATCTATAATACTGGAAAAGTGAGGAATGCAAAAAAAATTAATAAAAAAGGAAAAACTTAAACATTCTTGAGTGTCTTAGAGCTAAACAACCCACAAATTGAGGAACTGATACAAATCAACAAGACAATAATCAACATACTAATTCATTCAATTCACTCACTAATTCACCAAACCCATTTGAATTAATCACCAAATTTGACATAATAAGGAGAACAGAATATATACTTATAAAAAAAAAACAGTAAACAATCATACAAGCACAACCCAAAAAAAAAAAAAAAAAAAAAAAATCAAGCTTGAAGGAAGCTAGAAGCAAAAATTAAATTTTTAACATCTAAAACACCCATATAAGCAATAACCAAGCTCATTGTCTATCATGTTTGACGAAAAGAATAATGTGCTGCCAATTTCTCTAATCTAAATATAAATGTACTGTATTAGGCAAAGCATCATAAGATGAGAGGAAGCACACTAAGCAATATATCTTAAGAAATAAACCCAAAAACAATTCATAGAACCCACTATTCATTCAGCACCATTATTCTGGAATGCCAATGATGCCTTCATCCCAAGCCTACTCAAGAACAAGGCATATAGGATGTGCAGAGAAACACGAAGAAGCAACAATTTAGCAAGAGCTGCCAGAAAAGGAAAGTGTAAGCTTGATGGCTACATTATACAAAATAAAGAATTGGTTTTTTTTTCTCAATTTATAGTAACAAAGCCTAAATGTTCAGAAATTTGTAAGTCAATAAAATCTTTCTCTAAAGATTAATAAGGATAATTATAAAATACAGTTAAATTCATACAAGCACACAAAAAAAAAAAAAAAAAAAAAAAACCCTACAAAATCCATAAAAGCAAGAAGTCACTCACAGATACTTATTATGAGGTTTGGAGCTCCAAAAGCATTTGAGCAGAGTGCTTGAGAACTTCTCTGAGATTGTCTTCCTCTCGATCTTCTCCTCTTTTCCCCCTGGAACTCAACAAAGCCCAGCGAGCGAGTGAGAACTACAGCAACTTTAGAGTTATTACAACTCAGTTGTTGTATAGGGCTAGCTGACAGATTCGAGGGGTACATTATTGCTCACAGATCATCAAGATTTATACAAGAAGACCTGTATAAAAACACACAAAACAAGTATGAATAGCAGAAACATTGATGTAGATAGTTGCAACTGAAGTATAAGTGAGCAATCTAAATAGTCAAAGAAACAGGAAGAGACGTACGCTTAAACTCATCAAGACCCCCGACCAGATTTGGCATTTAGGTAATGCCCACCTGCGAACGCAATCATAGTAGGGTGTCCTTTTTTTTTTTATCTATGCCTCCTAGATTAACTTTGTTATGGGAAAGGTCATAATGTTTCTCTTATCTTATGACAAACTTTAGGCAGATAAGTCTGCCTCCTTTTCAAACACTTTAAGAACATGGAACCCGTCTTCTTCACAAGATTACAAGTAAGAGGAATCTTCGGAACATTAAGTCATCTATTTCCTTATGTGCACTTCAGAAACTTCTGTCAGTTTTGTCGCACACATTATTTGTTATAGGAGTAGATAAAGTCATAAATGACAAATGACATAAACAATATTCAATTTCGGGTCATGACTACGTTGTTTGGTGATCGTGATGAGTTGTATTTTCCTAAAGTAATGACTACTCTCTAAGCTTTAATGAGTATTGGGCCATTGGCAGGCTTTTAATACATACAATCAAGAAAATAAAGTAAGCAAGCAGAGATGTAAATTAATTGAAGTGCTCGAGAACAAAAAGTCTAGAAGAGTAGTATATTGTAATAATCTCAAACAGAAGAGCTTGATATACTTTTAGAATCCATCGCCTCAAAAACTCATGGAGATTCATAGAAATGCAAGGTCTAACAATGATCTAACTTTGCACATCTTTTGAATAAAAACTAATTATTACTTCACATACAAAGGATCACGATCCTGCTCAGCATCATTAAATTTAAGCAGGAAACGGCACACATAGTTGACATACAAAAATAGGAGATAAGAGTGAATATATTTGAAAGACTAACCTCTTTACTTAACAAGGATATCCAGGTTGCTTTTTCGGTAGTTAAGTTGATATGGAGTCAAGGAGGGCCACGCAGTTGAATTTTCTTTTTTGTTATAGAAGCACAAGACTAACTTCAAGCACTACATTATTTTGCACCAACCTGCAATTGCTGCTAATATTACAGTAGAAAAGATAAAGGATGCTCAAGTTATCAGTTGTATGGTGTAAATTACTCTCACATATAAATTAATAAATTATAAGGAGACTATCATATCAAACACGACTTCTTTGTTGCCTCCTTAATACTTCCCAAACTCACTTGATAAGTTATTACACTCATATAAGTAGAACACCACCCTTACCTAGACATACCACATGTACAAACCTTTACATATATATTTTCTCACCTCATTTAATAAAAACAACAAAAGGCTCATGTAATACGAAATAAGAAGTTAATTAAGAGTGATGAATAAACTTGGGAAGATTAGTGTTTGTTCATCAAATCTAATTTATAAACATTTAAACCCTTCAATGCATTTAAACTAATTAACTTTAGTCACTCACACATTTGAAAATTTAACATATACATTAATCCTCATCACTTTGGCAAATTATCAAAACATCCTACTTTCATTGTAAAATTACATCTAATAACCAAGTATAATGAGAAGTTGAGAGCAATGCATTTTCATCCTTTTTAATCTAACAAACCTAGCTTTAATTTTTAATCTCCAATTGAAACTTCAAGGATCAACACCCTCAAACATCACCTATAGCATCTCATGTCTAAAAGCAAGCTCCCCAGCAGATAACCACTGATTTCAAGGCAATGGCAAACTGGCAGAATAAAACAATAATTACCATAATATGCTAAATATGCAAAGCTACTGCGACTGAATCAAGGCAGCAATTTGGTTCCATTGCTAAACTCCAATGATAAAAACTTACACTTCTGGTAAATGTCCATGCTACAAACAGTACAAAAATCTACCTAAACCTCTTATAATCTCAATCAAGAAATGAAAATTTATAGAACCTACTTAGTTAATCCTTTAAATTTAGCAAAAATTGATCAATGTTAGAGACATAATCAAGGATAAATCACCAATGAACCAACAGAAATTGAAATTAGTTCTTCACAAAACAAAACAAAACCAAAAAAAAAATTAAAAACAAAAATTCAAATTTTAGAGCATATACCAGCATCAATAACAGCATCCCAATCTGTAGTAATTCCATCTTTCAGAAACTGCTACGGCAGATAAACCTGTGAGATCGCTAGCAATACGAACAAGAGAAGGGTTGAAAATTGAACCAATAAGAACAAGAAAGAGAAAGGAAACAGATATTGTATACACAACACATCAATATTTCCATTAAACTGCAGAATTGTTCTCAAATATCCAAAATAAATCCAAATATTCCTAATAAACTGCAGAAATTTACTCAAATATCCAAAATACATCCAAATCCCTAAGAATCTTAGTATACATCAAAATTCTCCTGGGTCCATCTTCCTCCTTGCAAAAATTAAATTTTTAACATCTAAAACACCCATATAACGTAAAATAGTGAAATTAATAATCAAAGAAAGTCAATATCTTGAAAACTTATAAGACTAATACCTTAATTTTGGTGGGGTTGAATCAAAGATCCAAAGTAATCTCCTCTTTCTGGAAAAATACTGAAGAAAATAATGAGTGACCCGAATAGCAACAACCCATGCTCCGAACATCAATTCGTGGGATCAAAGCTGCGGCAGAGCTTCTTCCTTGCTTGGTTTCTTCTGGAACATTCCTCCGAACATCTTTGCTTTAGGAAACCATTTGAAATCAAATTCAATAAAAAAAACTACATGAAAGCCTAGAAATAAATAAAACAACCTTCATATAAAAGGTAAAATCTAATCGAGGAGATGAACATCGAAGTATCGAACCAATTAAAACAAGAAAGATAAATGAACCTTAGCAACCGCGTCGCCAAAACCGATGAAATTGAAACACTGAGAAGAATCGAAGCCCATCGCCATGGTTTTTCAAGGATGATCGGTGGTTTTGAGCTCATCTCCATCATTGTTGAAGGAGGACATATTTTCTCTCTCTAGGTTTCTCTCTCCTTGTTTTCCATTAAGAATTCTGAGCTTTTTTTTTTTTTGAGATGAAAAGGAGGAAAGGAACGATTTCCGTAGATGTTGCTTAATTATAAACTAATTCCCTAATTGCGTTGGTTTAAAAACTTATTCCCACGGTACCGTCTATGTAGGATTGGTACAAGGTTCGTAATTTTTTATTTTTTGGTTCAACATAGAACCGCTAACGGTGATAGCGGTTCTATACAGTAGAATCGTATAGAACCGCTAACACCATTAGCGGTTCTAATAATCAAATAGCAATTACCATTAGCAAAGCTAACATATAAACCGCAAATATTGTTAGCGTTGTTTTAGTAAAACCGCAAACTGCATTAGCGGTTTTTGCCTGTGAGCCTACCACTTTAAAACTGCTATTTAAACCTGTAAGTGTGCTCCAAAGAAATATGAACCTGAAAAATTTTAAAAGGCATAATGCCTAATAAAAAGAATCTGTGACAAACCAACAAATATGCATTCATCCAAGACAAAGTTAATAGCAAAGATTATCCAGTTTATTATATACATATCAAAAGTCCTAATGCATTTCTCCAACACAAACTAAACATATGTTCATCAAAATATAAACAAAATGTTATTTACATATAATTTAAGACCAAAAAATTGCTTCTAGCTATCTAACACATAGGATCCACGCTGCTTCTTTGAATGATGTTCCGATGATCCAAATGCAGATTCATTAACGTCTGTAATGGGTGATAGCTGTGAAATAGTAGAACTCAAGGTGCGTGATCGTCTTACATATGTTAATGGTAGTTGGGGAGTACAAGATTGATGAGGAGAAGACTCGTAATTCAAAGAGAATGAAGATGGGCTGAGAGTAGTATGTGGTGATATGGGAGAAGTAAGTGGTGAGGTAGGAGGACAAATAGAAGGAGTACATTGAGGAGGAGGAGTGGCAGTAGCAGCAGAAGAAGTGGCAGTAGCAGTTTGAGTAGAAGTGGCAGCAGGAGTGGTAGTAGAAGTGGCAGCAGCAGTAGAAGGAGTGACAACAGTAGAAGTATTAGTAGGAGCAGGAGTAGGAGTATTAGGGATGTGTCGTGGTGGCCTAGAAGCAAGGATACCTAATGAGGATGTTGATTGAGTGGTGACACCTACATCATGGAGCATGTATGCTTTGCCAACTGTATGCAAGGTCTCGGTGCAGGAACTTGCTAGACTTTGTAAGGTGTGCAATGCCAACTCCAAAGCTTTGTCAACAGGCAAATCGGAAGTAGACTCTTCCACACGAGTGCACGTTCTCACAACCTCGGCAACTGTTTCAGACTAGATAAAAATAAAAATAGTTAGCTGTTTAAATTTAATTGTCATTAGGAAAAAAAAAAAAAAATCACATAAGCACCATTGCGTAATTCTTACAAGCACAAACTCATTAGAGGCGGACTGATATTTAGTTGAAGACGTTCTTGGTCCGGCGGAGTGATAATAAGCTTTGTAATTGTCCGATACCAAGCTAAATAGGCATCCAATGTTGTTGTTTGACCCATGGCCAAAGTGCCACCAACAACTCTATCTTCTCGCTTATTCCACTCTTCTAAATACTTGGCATGGATCTTGACATAATTTTTGTTTTTTGCACCTCTACGATCAATACGATGAAGTGACTCACTCGTGTTACACGGAAGAGGGATAGTTTGGTCAAATCCAAATTGCCGCATCACTCGATCGGGAAGATGATACTCAACAATGTCAAAACAGATTAGTGGTGAGTAAGTACGCCACACATGTGTATCGCTTCAACATATTTCCGGAAGTAAAGAAAGAATATCCTCCGTATACGGCTTCCATGTCATCTGTTAAATGCATACACCAAAGAGATGACATTCAAATTATACATCTATAGTTTTAAAATAGCTGTATTATTGCCTTAACTATTTGGAACTACACATTTCAGCTTCAAGAATGGTTCCAATTAAGCTCAGGCCTCAATGTTGTCAATATTCAGCATATTAAAGTAAACAAAGAATTGTTCCTATTAAAAAAAAAATAAACAAAGAATTGGTTTTAAAAAAAAAAGTAAACAAAGATGCAGCCTTCTTTATGAAAGTAAACAAATATACAAAGCATTGGTATATAACCACATATGAATCAACTACTCTAAAGCATTATAGAAGTAATAAACTAGCTATAGGGAATAATTTCAAGCCTTTAATCCCACTAGCTTGAACCCCACTGTGCTCATACACTAAAGTACGGTGGCGTCCAAAAGGGAAGAAGATAGAGCAAAAGAGTCGCCAACAAGTTTTTTAAGGAACTTGTAAACCGTTCATAGGATGAAGGTTACACCCCTTAACGATCCAAGAGATCGTCAACTCCATAAGGTCATGAACCAAATAAGGGTCCGGGGATGATGGTACAAATCCAACCTAAAAGAGATTAAACCTGCCCTAATAATAGGCCTCTACTTTATTCTGCTCGTATTCATGTGCGCTTTCTGATTAACATGCAATCAATAGGATTAACCCTAAACCTGTTTAATCTATGTTGGTTGAATTTAATGCACACATAAACTATCATTGACGATCACCTGAATTATAATCACAATTAGCCCTAACAAGATTATTAAATATCTTATTAAGCGTGATTACAAATACCAATTCCCTTTAGCATACATAAAGGGTGATCAAGCAATAAAAAATATCAAGCAACATAATAAATAATCAACATCATGAATAATAATAATAATCATAAAAATAATAACATTCATGTTAAAGCATAAAAGCAAGATCCTAGGCATGATACTAACAAGATTAATAACAAACCCTAGCATGTCACAAGGCAATAAAAATCAAATCTTTAACCCTAACATGATACTAACAATCATAAATATTAGGAAGAACATAGAAGGCATCATAGCAATCATATTTAATATAAAAAATACCCTAGACATGATACTAGGAATATCATAATAACAATCTAAACATGATTTCTACATCATAATATCAATTAAAACCATTAAAGCACTTACTTTGATGCCTCGTACCTCTTTCTAATAACAAAATACACACGTTAGTAACTTCAAGGAAAATAATAAACAAAGCAACTAAATTAAATAATTGAAATAGAGATTTGGGACCAAACCCTCATAAATTAAAACCTTTCACGCCTAGGGCGAAGGCAACTTCGAATATGGCTAGGTGTTTCTAGATCTTGTGAATGCGGAATTTTGTATGAAAAAGCAAGAAAGAACTGAATGCTAAAGAATACTTGAGAATGAGAGAATTGGTGAATGTAGATGATGAATTGTAGAAAATTGGTGAATCAAAACGGAGTTTTTAATACGATATTTATAGAGAAAATCATCCAAAAAAGATAATTTAACAAAACAGAGTCTGAAGATCGCAAAACAGGATTGGCGCCAACCCTGGCTAGCGCCTGGCGCCAAGCCTGGTTCCGGGCGCCAAGGCCTGGGGTTGGACGCCAAACTGGATTTCAACGCGTTTTTGAAAATCTGATAAATTTCCCGTACTAGAAGATAAAATAATATAATTCCTTCGAAAATGCTATTTGATCTTGATTAAAACTCTGAAAAGTCAACAAAGTCAACTTATCAATGCTAATTAATTAGGAATGAAAAGAACCTTCTAGAAGATCCTAGAAAACTAAAACCATTCCTAATTGCATTAGGAATGATAAATCATATTAGGCCCTCCCCTAGATCATTGGGCCATACATAAAGCTCAAACCGGGCCCAGTTTAGTAAATTGGCCATAACTTCCTCAATATTCATCGGAATTGGGCTTATAATATATCGTTGGAAAGCTCTTTGCAAGCCCCATCCAACTACACCACTGTTGGACCCATATCATGGACCAATCAAACTGGATTGGCTGTTTTCTTAAAATAAAGTTTTTCAAAACAGGGAGAAGAGAAAAGAAATAGAACTTTCCGCGACACTAGACCTTTCCACACTTTCGTTTCATTCGATTATGATTCGACGTGAAAGGTAATCATCACTAGGTTTGGTTTTGGGGAGACACAAATGGGTGTCTATAGAAGCCCCCACTTTGACTGAGTTTGGAGAAACGCAAGTTTCGAAAACGAAAGTCAAAGTAACGATAGGGACGGAAAATGATTCAGAACGTTCTGCGATCCTAAATCAATCTTGTAACGCCGATACCTGCAAAACTAGCATTAGTTAAACAGATAAAAGAGTTAAGAAACGCGTATCTTGCACCGTCGAGCACACGTCTCTGAAAGTAACCGATTTGCTGCTTTACTGTTTTGATGACCTCCTGCAAGCTAGAGAATGCCATCCCGCTTGAAAACTGCTACGCCTGTAACTGATTCCAAATTAGAAGATTTCTTCGCCTGAAACTATCCTCCCCTCTATGATAACATTCCACGTCCAAGGGAACATCATCGAAGATTATATTTCTCGAAACAATCTCCATCCGCATTGATAATATTCCACGTCCAAGGGAACACTATCGAAAATTATTTCTCTTGAAATAATTCTCATCCGCATTGATAATATCCCACGTCCAAGGGAATACTATCGAAAATTATTTCTCTCGAAACAATCTTCAGTTGCATTGATACGATAATTTTCCAAAGGAAATTACCGAAGATCCACGCCTGTCGATCTTTAAAAGTTCGCCTGTACTTTGCCTCCTCTATGCCTGTACGTCGGCGTTCTTTTGCTTTGAACCTGTATGTCGGTGCCCTTTGCTCTTGAACCTATATGTCGGTGCTCTTTGCTAATGAGCCAATGCTTAGGCGCTTTAAGCTAAGTGAGACGATCTTTTATCAGGTCGATCACTTTACGTAATCAAGCCGATTACTTAATCATGTCAAATTTCTCAGAGGGGCTAACTGGCGTACCAAGGAACCCAAAAATATATTGCAGAAAGTCAGCACAACCCCAACAAGTGGCTGGCTGCTTTGGCGTCGCTGAAAATCCATCAGCGCCAGTCTAATAGCAGTAGCGCTAGGCGCCAAGCCCAGATGGTGACGCCAATTCCTAGGGACTGGCGCCAGCACGGGATTCTCTTTAAATTCCCGTTTTCGTTCATTTCTTGGCTCTATTCGTCGCGAAAGCTGCTCGAAGAAACCGAAAGCTTCAATTGCTCATTGCTCACTCGTTTCTCAACCGAATTCGCTCAAATTTGTTGCAAATCAAAGCTATTTTCATCTATTTTCCCGATCTATGTAAGTTTTCCTCAAACTCACGCCGGTTTTTATGAATTCTTGGCATGTTTATTCACGAATTTTATGGAAATTCGAATTCTATGATGCTCAATTTGCTTTGTTTGTCAAGTTTCATGCCATGAAATTGCTTGTTTATGTTTATATATTGCCTTGGGAGTAATATGAGACTTGTTTGACTCAATTTGGTGAAGAAATGAGCAATTTGCCATTGTTGGACCTCTTAAGGTCGTGAAGAACAATGTGGTTTGTTCTTGACGTTTTTGCTAGCAATTCTTGTTCAATTTGTCACAATAATCACTATAGTGTTGCAAGAAATTGTTTGATTGCTTGAAAAAATACTGTCATGCTCAATTTGAATTTGTGCTCTATTTTAGTACTACGTGCTCTATTTTTGAGAACATAGTATCATGCGGCTAGGCGAACCTTAGATACTATAGAACCTTAATTTATGATGATTCCGCACAATGTAGCATGGATAGACAACGAGGCTCAGGTTCACGGTCCTGAAACACTAGACGAGAGCATGAGCCCGTGGAGGACGACACCACGCCGTCCACTTCGCTTGGTCGGCTCCCCGAGTGGGATGAGCAGACTTTGTTCTTTGCCCCTGTCCACCACATTTCTGAGAGGGTAAGACGGGGAACCGAGCCTGGGAGGACACGTCATCACGGCGCTGGCTGTGATGGTCTAGGCGATTTGTACAGGATGCACATCGCCAGAGATTGCGAGACGAGACTCCTATGGGAGTCCTGCGGGCTAGTTACTCTGTTCGAGACCTCCAAGGCTATGGTCGCCTCCAGCGGGGGTCACCACGTAGTACGCGCTTTGGTGGAGTTCTTCTGGGACACCACCAACACTTTCCATTTTCCCTGGGGCGAGATGATGGTCACCCCTACAGACTTCAGTCTCATCACAAGACTGGATTTCACTTCTGTGTCGCTGCCGTTCGACGGTGGGATCGACTTCTTTTCTTCAGAGGTCTAGGATTTGTTGGGGCCGATTGCTATTCGGGCCCGAGCTGAGGTCGAAGCGACTCAGTTCAGTGCTAGAGGGATTCGCCGCTCGACGCTGGCAGCGGCCCTTGATGACGATGCGACCACCCGAGAGCAGCGGGTGCGCATCTTTGTGCTGATGTTATTGTCAGGGACATTCTCTTCTGACAAGGGTAGTAGGGCATTGCTTTACTACCTTCCTGCTGTCCGTGATCTCCAGCGGATCGGGACCTATGACTGGGCCGGCTTGGCCTACGCTGAGGGACACGTGTCGTCATCGGTCCTTTAGGACGAATGTCGCTTTGTCTGCTTTCTGGAAAGTCGTAGAGGTAAACATTATTCCCTATAAATTTTAGC